ATACAGTTGTGTGTGTGTGTGTGTGTGTACGTATGTACACACACACACACACACACACACACACACACATATATATATATATATATATATATATATATATATATATATATATATATGTATGCATATATATATATATATACATACACACACACACACATATATGTATATGTGTGTGTGTGTGTGTGTGTGTGTGTGTGTGTGTGTGTGTGTGTGCGTGCGCGCATGTGTGTGTGTATCTGTATGTGTGTATATATATGTGTGTGTGTGTGCGTTTGTGTATGTATGTATGTGTGTGTGTGTGTGTGTGTGTGTGTGTGTGTGTGTGTGTGTGTGCATGCGTGCGTGCTTGCCTGCATGTGGATGCGTGCGTGCGTATGTGTGTGCTAAGACACTGACTGTGTTTCTGCGTGGATTTGGACTTATAAGTATGAGCGATGAATCCATTGTGGCAAACATTGTGTAAGGTGTGACTAACAATGACTTAACGGAGCATGACTGCGTAAATGTTTCTATTGCAAATATTAACTGTATAATTATTACCTGTAGTATGATTATTACAAACTGTATTATTATTGTTAATTGTAATGTCATTATCGTATGATTCGATAAATATCATGAAAATTTAATTATCATCATCATCGCCATTAATATATCAATAAATATTACTGAATGAATAAATAAATATGTCTATAATATGCCACATTAATGAAACCTATGTGTAAGATTCGGGTGGAGTGAGAGTGTGAGTGAGAGTGAGTGTGAGTGTTAGAGTGAAATGTGAGTGTAAGCGTGAGTGTGTGGAGTGTGAGTGTGAGTGAAAGTGTGAGTGTGAGTGAATGTGAGTGAAAGTGTGAGTGAATGTGAGTGAAAGTGTGAGTGAATGTGAGTGAAAGTGTGAGTGAATGTGAGTGAAAGTGTGAGTGAATGTGAGTGTAAGCGTGAGCGTGTGGAGTGTGAGTGTGAGTGTGAGTGAAAGTGTGAGTGAGTGAGAGTGAATGAGAATGTAAACGTGAGTATGTGGAGTGTGAGTATGACTGAGTGTGTGGAATGTGAGTGTGAGTGTAAGTATATCTAAGTGTGAAATCTGAAGTGTGAGTGCGAGTGTAAGTGTAAGAGTTAGAGTGTGAGTGAGGAGGTGAGCGCGAGCGTGAAGTGTGGCCGTCGATAAACAGTTGACCAATTATCACTTGTCTCACCTGCGCCGTTGAGATTGGCATGTTTATCAGTCAAGTGGCTGTCAAGAGTAATACTTCCCATCAGCGTGAGTGCCGACTGAGCCCTGGTGGGGATTTTTTTTATGGGGTATGTTATCATTACTTTTATTATTGGTATCTTTATAATTATCATTGTTATCATTACTATTATTAATATTATCATTCCTATTATTACTACTACCATTGCTGTTATTGCTTTCATTACTTTTATTATTGTCAATAATATTATCATTATCACTACTAATATTTTTATCTTTTTTTTTTTTGGGGGGGTAGATGTTATTGTTTTTTTGTTGTTGTTTTTTTGTACTTGTTCTGTCATTATTACCATTGGTATCATCATAAGTATCGCTATCATAATAGTTATCCTATGTTATGATTACATTTGCTATTATCATTACTATAATTCTTGACTACGTTAACCTTAATCTTCATCATATCTATTAACAAAAAAAAAAAAAAAAAAAAAAAAAAAAAAAAAAAAAAAAAATCATAATATTCACCACAACTTCCTACACCAACAGAAGTTATTATAATTATCACCACAATCCTTACTATCACTATCACTACGACTACAAGCCTCACAGTCACTACCACCGCCAATCTCACTACTAATAACACCACCACAATCCCTACTATCAATTCTCTTGACACCACAATCCTCACTATTACTACTGACACCACAATCCTATCACTATCAATAATCCTAGCACCACAATCTTCACTAGCTATACTCCGAACACCATAATCCTCACAATTAATACTGACACCACAATCTTCACTACCAATTCTCCCAACGCCACAATCCTCACTATCAATACTCCTAACACCATAATCCTCACAATTAATACTGACAACACAATCCTCACTATTACTACTGGCACCACAATCCTATCACTATCACTACCAATCACAATCCATCACCACCCATTGTCTCTCCTCCTGACACCATACATCCTATGATGCAATAACGCTTCCAGATTTCCCCCAGGTGCCGATTTTCCTTATTGGATCAGCTGACTCGAAGGACGCCGGCTGATAAATTCCTACGGAGGTGAATCGCCGCCTGTGTCCTTAAAGGTAGGGTGGCCTTGTTGCTCGAGCTAAATTACTGTTGCTGTTGTTCTTGTTATTGTTGTTGTTGTTGTCTGTTGTTGTCTCCTTTGCAGCTGGTTTGTTCGTTTTTTGGGGTGGGCTGTTGTTGTTTTTGTTTTGTGACGATTTTTTTTTGTCATTATAAAAATAAACAAATAAATAAATATATATAATGTATTATCAATATCATCATAATTTTCTTCAGTAGTCCCAAAAGGCCAGTTCATTTCAACACACACACACACACACACACACACACACACACACACACACACACACACGCACACGCACACGCACACGCACACACACGCACGCACATATATATTCTCCTATAAACGAATACATTATTTCATAAAAGTCCACGTGATCAATAATTTCATTTTTTTCCAGCACAGGTGACTAATAACACAAAACAAAAATGAAAGTTAAAAAATATATATTGGGAATACGGATCAAACGTTTTCATTTCAGGTATAATAATTGCCAATAAATTGCTCTTCGTCATTTTTCTTAATTGAATATTAATGTTGCTGTGATTATTTTTCTTTTCTTATCTTTAATAGTATCATAATTATTTCATGACTTATTGTTACTAGTAATATTATCATCACCATCATCATTAATATCACCATCATCATTATCGTTATCAGTGTTATTATTTCAATTATCCATATCACAATTCGTATAATGTTAATAACCAAAACAACAATAAGGATTATCGTTATGATTAACACCATTATCCTTGTTGATAACATTATCATTATAAATATTATCATTACTCTCATCATTATTATTATCATTCTTATCATACCATTATCATTATCCTTATTACAATCACTATTATTACCTTTATCATTATTACCATTGATATCACTATCATCATGGCTGTTATTATCATCATGAATATTATAATTATTTCGAAACTACAATTTCGAAATCTACCTGGATTCTATATTCAGTGTTTTGTATTGTGTTTTTTTTCTCCTATTCCCATTATCATTACTGCTATCACCACGTACACCATCACAGTCATATATAAACCATCATAACACAATCTATTTTCTAAGACGTGGCACAGTGTTGTTTGCTGACGGTGCGTTGTGTATATACAGAGTCCGCTCTCCTATGAAGGTATAATCTCTTGCCTAAATTCGAAGACCATGTTAGCTAATTGGATACGGGTAATGGCGGAGGAGATCGTACAGTAATTAAGGTGGATGTTCGTGAACTGGTTGTGTGGTTGTAAGGCTGTGTGAGTGGTAGTTTCAGGGATAATGTTGTGTGGTTTGGGAATGTGTAGTAGGGACGTTGCAGTGTTCTCGGGGATTTGGTTTGTCACTTGTTTTTGTTCTACTTCTTGCTCTCTTTTTCTTCTCCTTGGGTCTGCTTTAAAGAGATCTTTTACTCTCTCTCTCTCTCTCTCTCTCTCTCTCTCTCTCTCTCTCTCTCTCTCTCTCTCTCTCTCTCTCTCTCTCTCTCTCTCTCTCTCTTTCTCATCATCTCCTTCTCCCTCTCCCTCACCCTCACCCTCACCCTCCTCCTCCTCTTACTCATCCTCACCCTCACTCTCACTCTTTCGCCTCCCTCTCATTCTTCAAAAAAAAAAAAAAAAAAAAAAAAATGTAAATACAGCGAAAAGCCCAAAATTAACTGAATTAAACGTTGGGTCTCTCGGTGCACACTTCCTCCTGGGAACTTTCCCTTTCCCAACACCAAAGGGGAAAAAAATCTATTGATTTATCTAACATCATTAAGAAGATCATTATCAAATCACCAGCGAATTATGTCTCTTACGAGATAAGGAGAGGCTGGAAACGCAACAGTCTTGAACTATTGTTTAGTTCATTTCTGTTTAGGCGCCATAGGTTTAAATACGAAATAACGATCAGTGAGATATCTGTTCTTACGTAATGATTGTTATCTGAGACCTATTAGGATGTTCTGTGACATGGCGAAGGGTGTGTGTGTGTAGGGGGGGGGAGGGTTGAAGAACCATTTTTTCTTTTTTATTTATTTATTTATTGACTTGGTATTTGTAATCCCTTGCTTTTGGGTGTTCCGAGTATCAATATTGTTTTTTTTTCACTTTTATTTAAGTATTTATTTATCTATTATTGGTTTTATTTTTAACATTTTCACTTTTCTGACTGGCCTGGAGGTATGAATGAATAAACTTTAAGCTATGGTATATGTTTTTCTTTTATTAAGGTACGTACGATAAACAGACAAACACACAGACACACACACACACACACACATACATACACACACACACACACACACACACACACACACACACACACACACACACACACATACACACAGACACGCACACGCACACGCACACGTACACACACACACACACACACACACACACACACACACACACACACACACACACACACACACACACACACAGTGAGGCGAGAACGTAAAATGTACCCACCGAATATTACCCAGTGAATCAATACTTAATATATGTATTTCGCCAAAAAAAAAACTACGTGCATAGGTTTCGACATAGTACAGAATTCCGACAAAACATCTTTTTAACGCCTAAGGAACGTTTATGAGACATACAAGACCATACACATCCCTATTAAGCAAACCCATCGCCCAGCATTCGACCAAGTTTCCCCTCGTTTACCCTCTCCCCATGACAGCCGTTCTGCCTTTCCCCTGGACACCCAC